CTAACTATATCGGTATTTCCAGATGATGCAGTTTTATAGTCTAATGAGCAACATATGATTTAATAGAATGAAATGACCATTTAAAAGAGACAAGACATAATATACATTAGATGTATGGATTTCTTAGGGCATTTAATATGACCAATTAGTCTTCTTTACATTATGGCATAACAACATTTGGCAGACCTCCTGCCTTTGCTCGAACTGCAAATTTGCAATACCTAATGTGATATTTTATAGCCTGCTTGTGAAGCTTAACTATTCAGTCTTATGATTTGGTCCCTGAATTATGAATTTTGGGAAAATAAGGGTGGCATTATGGCATACGATCCCTCTTACTCAGTTTTGAGTGCATCGAACCTTATTATTGTCACACTCTTCATTGCTTAATCCAAAACTAAAAAAGTTTTGTTCATACCTTAATTAATCTATGTGCAGTCCCTGCAATTCATAAAGAGTAGATACTTTACTATAAGAAAATTGTCTAAAATTAGTGCGACACATGTCTCAACTAGCGACAAATTCATGTACCAAAAACATGTCAGAAACATGTACACAAATTTGTTGCATGGAGGCATGCTAGTTGTGGCACTGGGACCGGAGAGTCCATACTGCACTTTCATCCTCAGTAGCTGTTCAGCCATCAAGTAATTGGTTGTTAGGACGCGGTTGACTGAATAGCTTCATTGGCTACTAAGTTGATGTTGGCTCTGCAGCCAACAGCATCTTAGCAACCGACGACACTGTGCAGTCAATAGCATCCTAGCAACCATGGACACTCTGCTCCTGACAGTTTCCTAGCAGTTAGTAGCGGGAGAGGTTGGCGCACACAAACATGCCTTACTCTTAACATAGTTACATAGTTACATAGTATTTGAGGTTGAATAAAGACATTAGTCCATCAAGTCCAACCTATAGGATCTCGTTTTTAGGAGTACTTGTACCCATGTATATTACTGTCCCTTAAAAAATCGTCCAAAAGTTTCTTGAACAATTCCACTTTTTTTGCTGAAATCACTGCCTGTGGCAGTGAGTTCCAGACCTTAACCGCTCTAACTGTGAAGAACCCCCTTCGCCCCTTGTGCTGGAATTTTTTTTCCACCAATTTTAGGTTATGGCCTCTAGTTTTTGTAACGTAGTTAATTTTAAATAGTTTATCGCCAATGTTGCTGTCACCATTGAACATTTTGTACATGGAGATCATATCCCCCCTTAATCTCCTCACCTCTAATGTGAACATGTTTAAATTTAGTAGCCTTGTCTCGTAGCTCTGGTCCTCCATACCCCTAATTAGTTTGGTTGCCCTCCGCTGGACTTTTTCCAGCTCAAGGACATCTTTTCTTAGTACTGGTGACCAGAACTGGATCGCGTACCCCAGATGAGGTCTAACCAATGATCTATAAAGTGGCAAAACTATAGACTCGTCCCTTCAATAGTTCCCCTTTTTGATGCAGGACAAAACCCTGCTAGCTTTGTTTACAGCAGCCTGGCACTGCAAACTACCTTTCAGTTTGTGGTCTACAATGACCCCCAAATCCTTCTCCATTTCTGACTTCCCCAGCGGCATACCCATAATTGTATAACCCATTTGTTTATTTTTAATTCCAAAGTGCATTACTTTGCATTTATCGACATTAAACCTCATCTGCCACATTAATGCCCATTCAACCCCCAAATACTATGTAACTATGTAACTACACTTAACCCCTTAAGGACGGAGGCAATTGTCCAAGTTCTGAACGTAAGCAAAACATAGCATTTGAGCTATATGTCTGTTCAACTATAATTTACCCCTTTCACATCAAGTGCACCCACATCTATTATATATTGTTTCTTAGAGGACAAAAAGGGCTTTCCAAACATTTTTTCCAAACATGCACACACATATTTTATTCAGCATATCATAATACCGATATGTTTTGCTGCAATAAAACACCCATAATTGTATTCTACAATGTCCCATAAATACATGAATACTCCCATTTTCAAAACTAGACAACCCAAAGTATTCTAAATGGGTAATTTTGAGTTTAACATAAATAGCTGCAACACTAACAGGGTTATTCACAAAAGGCTGAAGAGTTTGGAGAAGGCAGGAGAAGAGAACAATCTAGGACAACACAGCTGACCTGGAAAGTGAGCTGAATTGGAGAATTTCTGCAAATCAACTATTTTGGTCTAGATTGTTCACTTCTCCTGCCTTCTCCAAACTCTTCAGTTTATAGTGAATAGACTGTAAGATAATCAAATAATTTAAACCTTAAATTTTACAAAGAATGTGTTGCACTTAAAAAAAATTATAATAATCGTCATGAAGTGCTAATACGATACTAAATAACACAAATATCTACAAACTAGCAGTAATTATTTTTAAGTTTGTCTTAACCATAGCACCCGTATTGTAAAAGTGGTGCAAATAAGAACTGCTTAAATCTGTTTCATATGTTGAAAAGGCTGCCATGAATTAAGGGCAGGGCATTAAAGGCTGTCATGAATTAGGCAGAGGACTTAAAGAGCAACTGTACCACCAGAAAGGTTTTACAAACGCTATATTGAATCGCCCCTAGTATGTGCTACCGTGTTTCCCCGAAAGTAAGACATCCCCCGAAAATAAGACCTAGTGTCTTATTTCGTGCAAAAAAAAAAATAAGACACTGTCTTATTTTCGGGGAAACACGGTAATAAGTGATGTATGGTAAGCTCCCTTAACCACATCAGGCAACATGTATATAAATGGTGTGGTCCTAAAGTGGTTACACCAAGGTCACGTCTGTACCGTTTATTACAGCCAGTCCCTGGCTTTCATATAAAAGGGTTTGGGTGGCTATAGACCTGCCCGATCACTTGTATACAGCTAGTGAGTGTGCTATCCTATCCACCGTGCAGGCCCGGGACTAGAAGGGTGGGTCTCTTCGCTAGACCCAAGCGTAATAAGCACAGTTCCAGCGGCTCATCTTCCCATTTCATGTACACACACACAATTTTAAGGCTTAACATGTTTGGTATCTACCCATCATGACCCCATCTTTTATATTTTACTGACAAATTGGGAATTGTATTCTGTGTGTGTGTGTGCTAAAATTCATTTTAGTGTATTTTTTTTTTTTTTAAATTGGCTTGATAAACATTTGTGCAAATATCTTGTGACCTGCAAAATTGCAAATTCTAGCCAGAAATTCTGATTTTATGATGTGCATGCAAAAGAGATTGCTCCAGACGAGAAGTGGTTAACATTACAGATATAATTACATTCACATAACAATTCAAATGTTGTTTTCAGCTTTTCCATTGCCATTTTGAGCTGTGTTAGTCTCCTGGGTGTTGCTGCCTCTGTGAAACAAGAGAATTCCCTAGCCTAGCGGCATCACATATAAGGCTTTAATAGGTAATTCATCCATAAAACATAATTTGCTGACATTGTACAAACAGGTACAGATGAGGATATCCTTAGTCCACAATTATGTCTACTTTGATTTTCACAACTTTATCTTTACCTATATATAGTCAGACATACAGTATATTCTTACTGTTCCGAGCTTTCAAGAAAAGAGCATTTAGGCACCTCTCCAGTTTTAATACATATGCTTGAATAAGCAAGTGCATATTTATTATTTTTCTTCTTTATGTTTTATAATATGACATGGCCAAGCATATCTAGAATGGCCAAACTATTAGGAATGTTTCAGGTAAAAGCAAAGTTTGCAATTGCTCTAGAGTTACCATAAAAGGAGATAACAATCTTTTTTGCATATAATAAAAATTTAACTGATGAGAAAGGGAGCTTGTATCTGACATATGGAGAAGCTAAATATTATAGATGAACCAGGTAATGTTTGTTGAAGTAAACATCCAACTTAATATACTGTTGAAATGCATGTACATGAACTGTTTTATCTGATATAAAAATTTGCACTTTTGTTTCCCTAGTCTTCTAAACAGTAATTTCTTGGCATACTATACAACTAAATCCAAGAGGATGACATGGCCAATAAAAGGTTGCAGAGCTTTGCAACGTGCTAAATCACCTTCCATACTTCATCTTCACCTTTCCACCTTTCAAAAACAGAAGAGTAAAAGAAAAAACTTCCTCCAAGCAGTTTTAAGTGTTTCAAGTGTACAGAAAGTATTTTTTGTAGAAAATCAGATAATCTCTTAAGTAAGCATCTGTACACCCAGTGACCTACTTTGTTGTACACATTGCTTACTTTTTATGTTCATGGTATTCATTTCAAATATTTATGTATAAACTGCTACTTTTGGAAGTGCATCACATTTCATGACAGTGGTATTCAAATATTTTTTTTTTTAAATAGGTGTTGGTATCATCTGTATTTATTGGGCTGGAGACATAAATATGTAAAATTCCACATGAGGCAAAATCACTTTTAATAAAGTGCCAATGATTGAGTTATGTGATGTCTTATACTCTTCCAACTTCCAAAATGCTGCAGACAACTTTGTTTTTCAAGGGGAGTGGTATTATTTGTATTTATGGGGAATGAGAAATAAAGGGGTAAACTTCTATGTTGGGCAAATTCAATGAGCGGAATGAAGAATAAAAAAAAATTAGTTTTCATATACATTTTTCATATAACTTGTATTTGGGTCCAGACATTTAAATGAAATAGGAATTATATATTTAAACAAAACATCTATTTAAAAAAGGTGTCAAGAGCAACAATAAAGAAAATAAACATCCAACTATGCTTCTTGGATCACATTTTTATTTTTCTGTTTGGTTTGTAATTCTTTACATTTTTAAATTATGTTGTATATTAACAATATTTTATTAATATGCTGCCCATTAAACTGTAGGTACTGGAAAGGCTATGCATGAAAATAAAACTCTTGGTTCTGGATTTATTCTTGAGGGATTTTCTGACATCTCAAAAATTCAGACCGCTCTGTTCCTAGTGTTTCTTCTCATCTATCTTCTAACATTAACTGGAAACTTTCTCATCACAGCTGTAATTTTCCACAGTACACACCTTCAAAGTCCAATGTATTTTTTTATACGATTTCTTTCATTTCTGGATATCTCCTACTCATCTGTTATCCAGCCAAAGTTTCTTTCTGTTCTCATCACAGGAGATGGTAGAATAAGTCATGTAGGCTGTATAACACAGTTGTATTTTTTTATGTGCCTGACATGTACTGAGTTCATACTATTGACCGCTATGGGCTATGATCGCTATGTAGCCATTTGTGATCCTCTGCATTATTCAGTCCGAATGAATAAGCAATCTTGCTTTTTGTTAGCAGCATTATCCTGGATCATTGGGTTTCTGGATCCAATGGCCCATACAATTGCGATAGCAAAACTGCCTTTCTGCGGTTCACATATCATTAAACATTTCTATTGTGACTATTCGGTTTTAGTCAAACTGTCATGTGTTGACACGATGTTAATTGAAATGATGAGCCTAATCTTTGGTTCCCTTGTAGGATTTACTACTTTTAGCCTCACACTTACTTCTTATTTCTACATTATCTCCACCATATTAAGGATTAGTTCTGCCCTTGGAAGAAAGAAGGCATTTTCCACCTGTGTGTCTCACCTTACAGTTGTCATTCTATTCTACGGGACAATACTGATCATATATATGAGACCAACATCGCAGTATTCAACCTCTCTGGGGAAATCATTTTCTGTACTGTACACTGTCCTTATTCCTATGCTCAACCCACTTATTTATACTTTGAGAAATAAGGACGTGAAAACATCTCTTAAAAAAATTATTGACCATACCTTATGGACATATAATAAACACTAGGGAATTTTAATCCCGAAACAAAATTGTTCTGCTGGGGTTCTTGTTATGGGGGGGGAGGGGGGCTGTGTAACCACACACTGTGCTGTATTTTCATTCAATTAATGTTCCTTATTATAATCTGTTTCTCTGATTAAATGATTACAGTTGTCTTCTATCCAGCAATAGGCTTGAAGCCTGAAGAAAGTATTGCACTTGCTGTGACACATGCAGCCACCATTAACCCTGCACAAACCACCATAAGCTCTGCACAGACAACCTGAGAACCGCACAGCCGCCATTAACTCCGCACAGGCCACCTGAGAGCCGCTCAGCCACCATTAACTCCACACAGACCACCTGCGAGCCGCGCAGCCACCATTAACTACGCACAGACCACCTTAGAACCGCTCAGCCACCATTAACCTCGTAAGACCACCTGAGAGCCGTGCAGCTGTCATTAACTCCGCACAGACCACCTGAGAGCTGCGCAGCCACCATTAACTCCGCACAGACCAACTGTGAGCCGCACAGACACCATTAACCCCGCAGAGTTCCTTGAGAACTGCACAGCCACCATTAACACAGCACAAACCACCTTTAACCCCACAAAGCCCACGTGAGAGTCTGTACAGCACACCATAGAACCTGCACAGCCACCCAAGAGTTCGTACAGCCCACTATAGAACCCTGTACGCCACCTGAGAGTCTGTACAGCCCACCATAGAACCTGAACAGCCCTCCTGAGACCCCACATAGCCACCTATGATTCTCTGCTGGAGACATCAGATCAGCACCCCGGAGCAGCACAGGGTATGTAGCTTCATATTATTCTGCATTGATGTATAATGCATTGCTGGGATTTGTAGTCGTCTATAACTGGTTGCCATTCGGCATTGCTGTATAATGTATCACTGGTATTTGGAGTTCTCTCTAGCTGATGGTATTCTGCATTGCTGTATAATGTAATGCTGGGATGTGTAGTCCTCTCTAGCTTGTGGTATTCTGCATTGCTGTATAATGTATTGGTGGGATTTGTAGTCCTCTATAGCTGTTTGCCATTCTGCATTGCTGTATAATATGTTGCTGCAAGTTTGTAGTCCTCCATTGGGGTGCAGGTAGGGATGCACCTATGCTCAGGGAGGCTAATTGTCTAATAGGTAGGGGAACGCAATACTTGCCTTGGGCTCTCATAACCCACTGATGGGATGAGCAGAGAGGTCCCAGTTCTCATCCCCGGGACCCGTGAAAAGGTGAGCCTGCTTGGCCATATTGCCCTTAGAAAGCTTGCGAGAACTGAATCCACCAGCACAGGGAGAGAGGTCAGATTTAAAGCCAGATACAATACTAATGAGTAAATGTACTCTCTTTAATGGCACAGTATTCCACAGAACTATGAAATTAGAAATCAATCAGAAGTAGAACTAAACCTCATAGGAATGACATTTACTTTGCTAAAGCCCTGTGTATAATCAACAATTGCCTTTTTTAAGAATAAAAATACTCTTTTCACCTTTATTAATCCTTTAGTGGTTAGTGGGGTTAGTGGTTGGGGGGAGGGGGGGGGGCAAGAAAAAAATCTTGCACCGGGGGCCTTTGTTCCTTAGGTCCGCCACTGTAGGTAGACAGTGTGATCAAGCACCTGCAAATATAAAATGTGTTTCTTTATTGTTCAGTAAGGGGTGTATGATCAGTATTCAGTTATGTGGCTGCCTGCATTATGATTTGGAAACCTGGAAACAAAAAAGCTGTTGACCAGTATGCTTCAGTTTTCTGTTAGTTTTCTAGGGAAAAACATTTTTTTTTCTGTTGAGAAAACTTTAACAATTTTTTCCCAACAATTTTTTTTCTTGTGATTGTTTTTGTGCTTCAATCAGGCTTTTATCTTTTGTTGCTAAGCTGGGGCACTTCTGCACCTATCTGGATTGGCTTTTGGATTTTGGCATAGCATTGGTGACAATACCCAGACCCAGCTGAACTGCAGACTGTGAGGCGTGTCTGGAATGTGTGTTCGGGCACTGTGCTCTGTTTGTGGCTCTTTCTGAACGCTGTGTCCTATGTTAGTTAGCCGCGGAGTGCTTTCCAGGTCTAGAACTGTTGTGCAGCCTCTTGTGTGACCCTCTCTCTAATGACTTAATTCTGTAATTAAGCATAAGCTACACCTACTAGCTTTTCTTTTGGTGCTTTCCAGACACTATTGCTCTGTGCCAGTTCACTGCAGAGTGAACTACAGATGAAGAGCACTGACACTTCCTCCACTGTTCCCAGTCTCTGGCATTCTTTAATATATTCACTAGGTGGTTCACTGTTGTCCCTATTCTGTCAGCTCTGTGAAAATGATTAATGTGCTCAGGAAATATGTGCTGCATCATTAAGTCAAGTATTGCTTGCACACTCTCCTCACTCAGTTCCTGTGTGAGGTAGTATCTTCCTGCCTTTGCTCCTATTGCAAGTGTCAAGCTCTATTCACCCCAAATAGTCCTTGCTCTCACCAACAGTAACTTGGTAACCAAAGGCCATTAACCTTTCCAGTTCATGATCTGCTAACAATTCTGGGGCTGCCAGAAGTGTCCCTACTCAGGGTCCTGACACCAATGGCCTTGACATTTGTCCCATACTTGAGTCAAATTACTCCTCAGACTCCACCTTAGCTCCGTCTGTTGTCCCACCCACCTTTATCTTATCTAGGGAGGCTTTTTCTGCAGCTATGCTAGATTTTATGAATAAAGTTACCACTACGATTGCTGTCTGTAAACAGAGACTGTAAGCATATGTCTATGCCTTCCCTTCCAGACTTTTTACCTGACATTCCTGCAGCTGTTGTGGCCTCTGAGCCTTCTGCTTTGGATGGTCTGTCTGATGAGGACTCTCACAAATTCCTATTGGGTGAACCTGCTCCTGAGAAACAGCAACTAGATGTAATTACCCTCAGACTTAAAGATACCTTATCAGTTCTTGTTGAAGTGGTGTGAAACACCCTTAGAATGGAAAAGCCTGACTGAACATGTTTTTCTCAGTGTCGAGGATAATCCTAACAATGCATTAAAGCCTGATGGGCTGGGTAGGAGTCCTAGACATCTTGACGGTGCAAGAGGAATGAATATTCTGATCAATATTCTGGAACCTCGGCCAATTTGGTTATCCCTACAATGGTGGATTCCCCTACTGGAGGGTCTTCCAATTGGGATCCAGTCAGACAATGCCACTAATGTTATGTACATCAATCAGGGAAGTCATGACACAGAGAAAGGAGTAGAAAGGATTCTAGCCTGGGCAGAACTCCATGTCTTAACCTTCTCACCCATTCATATCCCAGGAACAGACAATTGTCATGCAGGCTACCACAGCTGGCAGCGACTGGACCTGGGGAAGTAATCCCTACATTCGTCGGTGTTTTAGGACCTCTGTCACAAGTGGAGGATGCCGGCCATGGACCTCTTGGTCTCCAGATTTATAAACAAACTGGAGAGGTTTATTTCAAGATGCAAAGATTCTCTTGTAGCTCTGTAGAATCAGTACAATCTGATTTTTTGCCTTTCCTTCTGTCTCTCCTCTTCTGAATGTCTTTCTTGTCTTCCTTGTCAAGATGGAGGTCATTCTGGTAATCCTTTAAGCTCTCAACTGGCCCAGCTGAATGTGGTTTTCTGGCAGATGCTTCGTGGGCTCTTGCAGACCGACCAGATATACTATTCCGAGGACAGCTTTACCACCCTGCTTCATTGACGTTGGATTTAACAGCAGGGCTGATGAAGACTAAGCATACTTCACCTGTTGCAGGAAAATACATATTTTATCCCAGGAAATACTCCATGGGAAAGATGTTTACCATTCTGAAATCAGCCTTGGATCCTTGGATCAGCATTTGTCATTGATTACCATCAAGTGGCAGATCTCAGCACTTGACATTTCATTCCAAAGACTGCTAGACTCTTTGGTCAAAATTTTGTACAGGGTGCCTTTATGTAGCTTTTTCTGTACGACCACCTGTGACTCCATGGACATGAACCCTTTGAACCTATTAAGGATATCCCACTGCTCACTGTCACTCACAAGGTTGCATTCACCTCTCCAAGCTGTGTAAAATAAAAAATCAACTTGTATGGGGAAGCTTTAAATGTGCCAAAACACAGCCGTAAGCTAATAATTATATAAAATCAATTCATTTATTGATGTACACATTAAAAACATAATAAAGGTAAACAATAGTAGAGAGAATGGGGTTTCAAATGAGGCATCAATAGTTTTTCATATCATAAAATATTTTATCGTACACAAATACATTTTTTTTTAGAAATTCTATTCAGGTGGAACAACCACCATGATATATATCTATATGTACAAAAAGTTCCAAAAGATCCTTACTTCACATTAACGTTGTCTCTTTTGTATACATTAAAGCCCTAGATTAGATACCTACATCAGTCTATACCACTTTTGTAGCACTCATGTTATGATACTGTATATTATTTGAATCCATATAATATTCAGACAAAAGATATCTCAGGGCTTGTATAGGAAGATATTTTCCTACGCGTTTTGCCTAAACAAGCTTCGTTAGGGAATATGATTGGCAACATTTAAACATAAAACAAATATTGAAATCCACAACACATCATGTACAATAATTGCATAATAAAATAGTAGCATACCAGCATCACCTGGAAAGAGGCGGATCAAAAGACGAGCCCAATGGAAAACACCTAGTTTCTGTCTTTCCTATGATATCAATCAAACCAATCAATCATTGATTGATTTGATTGATATCATAGGAAAGACATAGGAGTTTAAAGCTTAAAGGAGAACTATGAGGTGAGTGATTTTCAATTCCAAAGTATTTTATTGGTATTACATAGCGTGGCTGAGATAACAACAGTTCAAGTAAAGCTGACACGAATGATATACAGTCAAGAAGCAAAGTCTAGACATTGTGCAGTGAGCTCGTTCTTTGATACATAAAATGCCTCCTCGCAGGGAAGCTAGTTAGTTATTCATGGCAGGTGAATAAGTCATCTCCAGGAGCTTGT